ATCAGATTAAACTGTACAAATCTTTGATTAAGTTACACCACTGTTCAACCAGATTTAATTACAACAATATGTAAATAAAAAAAAATTGAAAAGGACCAGAATTGATATTTTTCTCATGCATGATGTATTGCACTTACTGACAGGCCCATAGATGTTAAAATGAATCAAATTAACAAAATAGCAACCTGGGAAATAGACGGATGAGATACAGTGAGAACTCTTCTTACCTCGTCCCTGTCATAGTTGTCGCCACTGTGAGGATCAAAAAGAACATCACCTGTAGCCAGCTCAAAGCAAATGCAAGCAAAAGACCAAAGGTCTGCTGAAGTTGAGTACTTGGATCCCAGGATAACCTCTGGACACCTGTACTGCCTTGTCTGTACATCAGCTGTAAATTGTTTATACGTCCAACATGCATTTCCAAAATCAACCAATTTACAGTTTAGATCAACTTCTGCCAATAGTTTTTGTCTTGTTGCCCGACTACCCCTTTTGTTACCCGAAATTCCTTTGCTATGGTCCTCGACCCCATCATTCCTTGTCATTTCATCTATAATCTTAGAAGTGTTAGGCTGTTCTTCAACTGAATCTTCATTGGATTTTGTACCAGCATTGGACTCTTCTGCATAAACTTTTTGGGAATCTGTAGATTCTGTACTATTTTCAGAAGCTTCTTTTTCTGTGCAAGTCTGGGCTGCCTTCTTTGCCTTCTTACGGATCTTCTTCTTTTGATTCCTGGTTAAATCCCCATTCAAATTTTTAATGTGTTTTGAAGGAAGAGGCTCAGCAGCCACCTTATCCCTTCTGGTTGGAAGGATAGGCGGAGCACCAGACTTCCTAGGATCTCGAGATGGATCAATCATTGAGAGCAACAATACATTCTCTGGCTTCAGATCAGTGTGAATTATTGAAAGCTCTTGATGCAAATAATCAAGACCAACAAGAATATGGAAACAGATCTCTTTTACCAAATGAAGAGGAACTCCCCTGTAATCACTGTATTTGATGAGGGTTAATAGGTTATCTCCCAAGTACTCAAAAACCATACACATATGCTGTCCATTTGGCCCTGAATGTTTAAAATGATCCAAAAGCTTAACAACACACTTTTTATCATCTGGATCTCCCTCAGAAATCTGTTTGAGAATCTTTATCTCATCCATCGCAGCTTCAGTGTAATGCTGAGCACTCTTTTGAATTTTCAAAGCTACATAACGCTACAAACAATAAATTTCTTGTGTCGTTAAGGAGCTGAATAATGAACATAAAATAGCAGTGGATGGTCCAATTCAACTTGTGAATAGAAGAAAGAAAATGGAAGAGATAAACCATCTTATAGATAGGAAAGCAAATTAAACTGATCTGTATATGCGAATGAAGAGAACCGCAAAAGCAATAAGAACAATGAACAATATGGAGAAAATTATCCTTGATTGGAATGAAATGGCCCCCAAAGCTCAAATCT